CTCCCGACCCGCAGCCCCCTGGTAGCCTGGCCCTGGGCTCCCTCCTCCCCTCCCCCACCAGTGCCCCTCACTCCCAACCTGCAGCCCCCTGCTAACCTAACCCAGCCCTGGGCTCATAAGAACTAAGAACGGCCAGACTGGGTCAGACCAAAGGTCCATCTAGCCTAGTGTCCTGTTTGCCGACAGTGGCCAATGCCGGGTGCCCCAGAGGGAGTGAACCTAACAGGTAATGATCAAGTGATCTCTCTCCTGCCATCCATCTCCACCCTCTGACAAACAGAGGCCAGGGACACCATTCCTTACCCAGCCTCGCTACTAGCCATTAATGGACTTAACCTCCATGAATGTATCCAGTTCTCTTTTAAACCCTGTGATAGTCCTAGCCTTCACAACCTCCTCAGGCAAGGAGTTCCACAGGTTGACTGTGCGCTGTGTGAAGAAGAACTTCCTTTTATTTGTTTTAAACCTGCTGCCCATTAATTTCATTTGGTGGCCCCTAGTTCTTATATTATGGGAACAAGTAAATAACTTTTCCTTATTCACTTTCTCCACACCACTCATGATTTTATGGACCTCTATCATATCCCCCCTTAGTCTCCTCTTTTCCAAGCTGAAAAGTCCTAGCATCTTTAATCTCTCCTCATATGGGACCCGTTCCAACCCCCTAAACATTGTAGTTGCCCTTCTCTGAACCTTTTCTAATGCCAGTATATCTTTTTGAAGATGAGGAGACCACATCTGTACGCAGTATTCAAGATGTGGGCGTACCATGGATTTATATAAGGACAATAAGATATTCTCCGTCTTATTCTCTATCCCTTTTTGAATGATTCCTAACATCCCTCCACCCCCCAGCTCTGCCGGTGCCCCTCACTCCCGACCTGCAGCCCCTTCTTGCCCAGCCCTGGGCTCCCCACCATGGGCTCTGCCGGTGCCCCTCACTTCCAGCCAAATACCTGGGAGGAATAGGTGCGGCCAAACCAGGCAGACGTCTCCCAGGCTGGAGAACATCAGCCCCCAGCAGACCCGGCGGGCGGCCGGGGTCCAGGCGCCGTCACCCCAGGCCTGGGCCGTCAGGAAGAAGACCAGGCTCAGGACCGGGAGGCTCTTGACGCCGGCGCTGACCCAGCTGGGCTCAGGCAGCCGCAGGGCGAAGTACAGGGCGCAGGAGGCCAGGAACGGCAGCAGCTTGAGGAGGCGGCTCTTGGCCTGCAGGGTGGGGTGGAAATGGACACAGCCACTGCCCGTCTACACTAGGGAGAGCACGGCGCGCCCGGCATGGAGACTATCCCTGTTAATTGTCATCACATTAACTCTGACACCTATCGCTACGCCAATCTATAATGGACATTCTGGCTAATTCACCGCGTTCACTCTGAACCCTACTGATATCCACTAGTTGACAGTGTGATATCATTAGCTTTCAGAGTTAACATGGTTTTGTCAGTTATTTTGCAATGTTAATGCCAAAACCTCACAAAAACCTGTTTTAACTAATGGTCCTGTTAGTTATTTCACCGTGTTAACTCTGAAAACTACTGACAGCCCACTGAATGTTATTAATGCTGATAACAAGGTGTTAACTCTGAAACCCAATGATAACCCACTGTGTATGGGCCTTGTTGACTATTCCACTAACAAGAGACTTACCAGGAGCACCCAGCTAAATCTACTTATCTCAGGCTGCACCGTGACCCGGTGGAAGTGAGAACTGACTCCCTTTCATCACTATGTTTTGTGAACTCTGGAACCTACTGATAACCCAAATGAGATCAACCTTATTAACTGTTTCACCACCAAGATACCCCAGCTAAATCTACTCAGCTCACTTCACTGACTCTCATCCTTGTGGGGCTGGGAAGTAACCCCCTCAATGAAGTGTTAACTCTGAAACATTTTGCCGTGATGTAACACATCTTCCTTGGTAATTCAGATACCAGAGCAATCACAGCAATGTCCCGCTTCACCTGCTCTATCCCCGACCCCGTTCCTGATCCAGCGCCTCGTCTCTGCTGCTGTGTGTTAACTCTGAAAGCTACTGACAGCATCACTTCAACCACAACTTTCCATCTTCATATCCAAGCTAGACTTTCCCCAGGAATTTCCAGTTGAACCCGGGCACCACACCAACCCTGAAACATCCACTCAACCAAAGTAAAAACTGGGCCCTTGCCCACTCATCCCAAAGGGACGTTCACTCTGACACTTACTGATGGCACCAACAACTTTTTAACTATTTCACCACCAAGAGTTGTAGCAGGAAGAGCCCATTAAGGCTGCTCCTCCAAAGGGTGAAGAACTGCCCCGTTAATGCTAAAATAGCAGTGTTAACTCTGAAACCTACTGCTGTAACCTTGTCCCATTCACATCAACAGAGTGTTAACTCTGAAACCTACTGATATTGGGCCTTCAAGGTCACCCACGCCTTCACTGCGATCAGAGCTATCCACACTGATCCTGCTACCAGCCCTGCTTCCCTTCCCCTCTGGGCCCAGCAGCGCCCCCAGCTCAGGCGGGCTACGGGAAATGGTGCAGAATTGATGCAGAAATGGCTGCAGGGAAATCCCGCCTCGATGGACCAGCTTTACAGGCTCACAGTCCCAGGAGCCGTAACAGCAGCACAACGACACACGGAGGTTACTGGGGTTGAGTGGGTTGGGGGGGGGCAGGGCGGGGGGGGGGGGGGGGGGGGCTGGGAGCAAGGACTCCTGGGTTCTATCCCCGGCTCTGAGAGAGGAGTGGAGTCTAGTGGCTCAGAGCAGGGTGGGGGAAGGGAACTGGGTGCCAGGACACCAAGGGTCTACCCCCCACTTGGCCCCACTTCGTGCCTCAGTTTCCCCCTCCTTACATCAACCACAAACTTCAGGGGGTAGCGGGCGTCTGTCTCCAGAATGTCCATAGTGCAGGGCTGGGGCTCCGGGACGCCCCCTGGCTGCTGCTCCCAATTTCAGGCACCCTCCTGGACTTTGATCTCCTGTGGATTCAACAGAGCCACAAATGGGTGTGGGGGGGAATTGGTCCCTCCCGCCCCATCCCCACCCAGCACCAACTGGTAACAGGGAGGCAGCGGCAGGGGGAAGAGGAACTGGTGTGTGTGGACGAGGGTGTGAGAGGAGTGGGGCGCAGGGGTCAGAGCAGGGGGGGCTGGGAGCCAGGACTCCTGGGTTCTCTCCCCGGCTCTGGGAGGGAGTAGGGTCTAGTGGGTAGGGGGGGCAGGGGGATTGGCTCACCGTCCTCTGGCTGCCAGCTGGCTCTGCCACCTGCGTCCTTCCCTGGTCTCACCTGCTGCTTCTACACCTGGGTGTCTCCCTGGGGCCTTGGATCCGGAAAGGGGGAGGGACCCACATCCTGTATCCACAGCCGTCTCCTCCCCCACTCAGCCGGGAAGAGCAGTGCCTGGGGGGGTCTGGATAGAGCCAGCGGGGGGCTGGGCGCCAGGATGCCTGCATTATACCGGGAGCCCTCGCCCGGCCCTGCGATGCAGCCCCTCTGGGGTGGGGCACAGGGGCTGGTTTATTCACCCCTCTATATAGCATCCCCGATTGACATAAACACAACTGGGGTGGGGGCAATGGGGCAGCGACCCCCAACTACCACCCCGTTAAAGCCTCACAGGGATGGGACGTTCCACCCCACCCCCCAAACTTTGGATCTGTCCTGGGTAGCGTCCCGGGCTCGGCGTTTGGGTCAGAGGCTCGGCAACCCGCTTGGCAGGCGGTCGGCCAGCAGGAGCTCCTCCTGGGTGAGGCTCAGGGGTGGCTGAGTCTCCTTGGTCATGGGCCAGGGACGGTGGCGGATGTAGCCGGACGTGCCCCCCGCCCGTTTGCTATTTTGCGTGCGGTTTCCTGTTATGCCAATGCAAAGCCACAAGCAGGGGAAAGCCCCCAATGATGTTGGACGCTTGCTTAAAGCTGCATTGCTCTATATCGTCTCTTGTATTCGTGCTTATGACTATGTGATCAATTAATGTAGGGAATGAGTGAGGCAGCATGAATGGGACAGCCAATGGCAAAACAAAGAGGCAAAGATCGCCTTTTCTGGAGCCATGGTATTATCTGGGTGAAGTTATGTGACGAAGTGGGGACTCTCCCTTGTTAGGTTGTATGTGAGCCCATGTGTGTCTTACTGTTTTGCATGAAAGCTGAGTGGGCCTCCGTCCCCCTGTGCGTTGCACCAATGTCTAGAGGGTGGGAATTAGGGTGGGTGACCTTTGTGGGGGTTGCTTCCGCTGCCTGCGGGAATGCTATGGCCTGAGACCCAGGTGACTCTGGCCTGGGAAGCGAGATAAAGGCTGGAGGAGCAACGGGCAGGACAGGGGCTAGGCAGCTGGAAGCGAGTCAGTCTCGGCTGGTTTGGGGCACAAGGGGAGGAGCAGAGCCCTGGCTCTGGGCTCCCCTCCCCACAAGATGGACTTGGCTGAAAGTCACTGATTTCTGTGCTAACAAGCTCTGTTCTGCGCTGTTCTACACGGAGGACACTGGGGTTGAGTGGGTGAGAGCGGGGCTGGGAGCCAGGACTCCTGGGTTCTATCGCCGGCTCTGGGAGAGGAGTGGAGTCTAGTGGCTCAGAGCAGGGAGGGAGAAGGGAACTGGGTGCCAGGACACCAAGGGTCTACCCCCATTTGGCCCCACTTCGTGCCTCAGTTTCCCCCCTCCTTACATCAGCTGCAAACTTCTGGGGGTAGCGGGCGTCTGTCTCCAGAATGTCCATGGTGCGGGACCGGGGCTCTGGGACGCCCCCTGGCTGCTGCTTCCAGCTCCAGACACCCGCCTGGACTTTGATCTCCTGCAGATTCAACAGATCCACAAATGGGTGTGTGGGGAAGTTGGTCCCACCTGCCCCATCCCCACCCATCCCCAACTGGTAATAGGGAGGCAGCGGTGTGGGGAAGAGGAACTGGTGTGTGTGGATGAGGGAGTGAGAGGAGTGGGGCGCAGGGGTCAGAGCAGGGGGGGCTGGGAGCCAGGACTCCTGGGTTCTCTCCCCGGCTCTGGGAGGGAGTGGGGTCTAGTGGGTGGGGGGGGGGCAGGGGGATTGGCTCACCGTCCTCTGGCTGCCAGCTGGCTCTGCCACCTGCGTCCTTCCCTGGTCTCACCTGCTGCTTCTACACCTGGGTGGCTCCCTGGGGCCTTGGATCCGGAAAGGGGGAGGGACCCACATCCTGTATCCACAGCCGTCTCCTCCCCCACTCAGCCGGGAAGAGCAGTGCCTGGGGGGGTCTGGATAGAGCCAGCAGGGGGCTGGGCGCCAGGACGCCTGCATTATACCGGGAGCCCTGGCCCGGCCCTGCGATGCAGCCCCTCTGGGGTGGGGCGCAGGGGCTGGTTTATTCACCCCTCTATATAGCATCCCCCATTGACATAAGCACAACAGGGAGGGGGCAATGGGGCAGCGACCCCCAACTACCACCCTGCTAAAGCCCCACAGGGAGGGGACGTTCCACCCCACCCCCCAAACCTTGGATCTGTCCTGGGTAGCGTCCCGGGCTCGACATTTGGGTCAGAGGCTCGATGTCCCGCTTGGCAGGTGGTCGGCCAGTGGTCAGGTTCAGGGGTGGCCGAGTCTCCTTGGGGGATGGTGGCGGATGATCCAACGGGCCCAGGGGTCCCAGAGGAAATCCACGGCGAGGGGGGGCAGACGCCCGACCCCTGTCTGTGCCACACAGCCCATGCTGCGCCCCCAGAGGAAGACCCGGCAGGGAAAGAAGCAGGTCCCAGAAATAGACCCGCTGCCCCAAATCCGCTCTGGGC